TTTCAAGGAAAGCCTTGCGCTGTAGTTTCTGTATGACTGTAAACGAGACGCGCCTGGCTTCCTGTGTACCTGATGTCCTAGCACGGCATGCCACTTCCTGATCTTGAGCTCATCTCTTCATGACAACACCCCCGAGTCTGCCGCCAAGGGCGGTTTGCCACCCTGACCTGGGCTTAAATCCCTGCACACGGGAGCAAAGGGGTGATGGGAGCAGGGCTGTTAACGCTAATCAGCCGTAAGTTGTCAATATTAAGCCTGTCCTGTTTGTTGACTTTGTACAAAACAGGTACTGATGAGGGGCATTGATCTTTCATGTATGATGCTGTGGGCCTGAAGAGTCCCCTCCTTCAGGGTTTGTGGGCATCTTCAGCAGCCAGAGATTGACTCGGTTGTAATCCCAGTGCTGAGCTGAGGGCCCTGTACTACAATTCCCCAGGGTCAGAGTTTCAAAACCCCTGTATTGCAATACTGCGTGTTAAAGGCTTTAGTGGTGCTGCTGATTAAGCAAATGCCTATCTGGCCAGGCAGTATACCTTTGGTTTTCTGTATATAAGCAGGGATGACCCTGATTAGGTCAAATATTGATTTTGCTGTTTGACGATGGATGGATGGGTCTGGTTTGTCACTGGATTGCCTCTAGCAGCTCTTCCCAATCCTAGTTCTGGAGGTCCAGGGATCTTCCACTTTTCCATACGGAGATATTAAATTGCTTAAGTGAGCCCTGGATTGTGCTAATCGTTAATTTCCTCCATGATTGTCTTAAACATACAGGTGTCCAGTTCCTGCAGGCCAGGGTCTTGTAGATGTTCTGGGACCGCCATCACTGTAGGTCGCTTTGCATAAAATAGAGACCTGAAAAGGGTCCGATGAAGCATGATATTAAAGGTCCAGTTCAGTAAAGGTGAGCTGGGCTGAAAGTGGACTACTGGGTCTTTAACTCCCTGTCCCATAAGTTGCACCAAGACATAATTAAGGTTATGTATTCCTCTGGAGCAACCTGGCATCTCTATATGTAAGGGTCTGTGGAGGAAATGTTTTTACACAGTTTCTAGCTAATGACCTCATACACCTGTGCAGTGATCTGTAATAATGCCATCAGCAGGATGTTCTTTGATGTTACCCAGCACCAC